ACAAGAGAGGGAGAAGCATGACGCATATGGCCACATTTTCACACTTGAGAGAGCACGCCCCCCGGATTACAAACTAAATTGGTCCGGGTTACAAACTGATTACCATGTCGTGTTACATCTTTATTCTCATACATAATAAACAATGAGCGACTATCAAAACATGTTGCACTCAATGCCCCCCATTGCGATCCCGACCAGACTAATCTAATTGAAAGAAAAACCTAAGAAAAACCTGCAATCATACACTGTAACTCCTATAACAACGCAATGTATTCTAAAACAGTGAATGCAGCAACATATTTAACGTTTTAATTTACTTAAAGATGCATATTTACTTCTTATGCGACCCTTTAATGGACCCTTTGCAGCCTGTGTGTTGAGGAAGGGTTGAAATAACCCCAGACTTTGAATCTGTTGTCAATAATAATATTAATAATGGCAATATTTTTCGGTTTTGATTCAGAAGATTCAGATTTAGTTGCTGTAACATTTGCACAACTCGATGGAATGCACAAGGTCATCTCATAACAATTGTATACAATATACAGTATAGGTTGTAATCCAAAATAAATAAATTGTGCAGTTTAGAAAACACATTTTACCACATTATGAAGGTGGTTTCAGAATGAGTGTCAATTTGAGCGACCTGTCAGGAATGTAAGATTGTCTATTGTATGCATCCAGTGAGTCTGCTTATTTATGTCTAACCTATCATCTTATTTCAGGGATACTTTGTTCATTCACACAAGTGTTTTATTTCCTTCTGGCTGATCAGACCACTGCTAAGATTGAATATGAGAATATATGTTTGATAAAGGTGAGTTTTCCCAGGTGCAACAAAGCAACTATTTTTTACAATAAATTATAACTTGTCACCCTGGACACTGTTTCCTGTCCTCCTCAGTAATGTGACAAAACAGAAAGGAAATCTACATGGTATGCAACTAGCCACAGTTGGAAAGGGATTACTTCCCAGCCAGGGTGGAAAGGAGGAATAATAACAGTGATTTTAATAACTCTGTAAACATGCACACAGTATGCCATGTCTATATGCCTTAAGAAAGAACAAAGATTAGAACAAATGTTTGGCTGTACTTGAGGTTGTTATGTATCATTGATTGATTAAACATCCAAATAGGTGCATCAGTTTATGTTTCACTCAATTAAAAAATGTGCACAACTTTCATTTTGTGTGTTTTTCTCCTCTTTTTTTTTAATAGTAATTAGGGCCTGACTAGTTGCTTGTCCAGTTAATGATGCAAAGAACCCGGCCGCTGGCAGTCTGATGGGACAGCAAAAGGCCAAGTTTGAGTGACTTGTTTTTTTCTGCGCCCCGTCACCTCCCCCGTCTCTCATCTTATCTAATGACCGAGCTGCATATCTGCCTTATTAGTAATGTCCATCTAACTTTCCCTGACCTGTTATTTCAATCTCTGGCCACACACAGACACACTCACTGCTTTTATACAATCATGTCACTCATACACGTGCACACAAGGACACATAGAAGGAATCGTACACACACACACACACACACACACACACACACACACACACACACACACACACACGCAGATTGACACACTCCCCTACTCAGCAGCAATTTGTTGCCTGTGACATCACATTGTGTGTTAAAGCCGTACTGGCACCGGGCTGCAGCTTCGTTAACTTTCCTCTTTAATGAGCAGTTTAATTGAGCTGTCTAGCAGGCCACCTGTCGGCCCGCAGCCTCATTACCATACTAATGGACTGGGATTGTTGCTCTGACAGCTCGGGCTGCACGGCCCTAACAGGCGGACAGAGAGAGAGAGAGGCCAAGTAGAAAAAGGGGACAGAGGCCACAAGAGAGGGAACAGGAGAGGAGAAAGAGTAAATTGTGTAAAGAGGAGAATGGACTTTGGTGTTGACGACAGGATAACACTGGCAACGTCCTATATTCTCTTATTTGACCATATGCCATAAAAAGAAAGCAAAAATGAATAGATCCTACAGCCACATATTGTTTTTGTATCCAAATTCTCATAAATTGCACTCCTCTGGCATAAAGACCTCCGTTGTTGTCCAAAACACATTAAGACACAATCAATGAGCTTGAACATAAACTGTTTATTTGACTTAATCCATCTCGGCCATAAACAGTCAGAGAACCCAATGTAGTTTAAAATGATCTCTACTATTTCCAATTTAAACTCAAATTGAGTAAGAATAAGCTGTTTTAAGTTGTATTTCTTCAGTAAAACCAAATGGACTTAAGGGCAGTTGACTTGGGATTTGTTGACAAGAACAAAAATAAAAGCTAACAAGCCATTATCCTATCGATTTCTCAATGTGTTTTTTTCATTCAGAAAATATGTTTTTTGGCTGCAACATTACATGAAAAGGAAAGATTTAAAATGTTTCAAGTCTGTCTTAAAGCAATAATCATGTGTTGCTGTAATCATTCCTCCTCTACATACTGAGAGATGCTTTTCTAATGTGCTTTCACTAAGAGTGATATATTTACTTGAACACTTGTGAAAGTATACTTTAACTTTTTGATCAGCACCTACATGTTGGATGTTTATTAAAACACAGATCAGAAGTGCACCATGCACGACATACAAAGCACTTCCTGATGCACACACAGCTAGGTTTCAGAGTTTCAATGAACTTTAAGAACCCATGATAGCCTAATCAGTTCACTACAACTCAACTACAGACCCAGTTCTCAAAAGAGTGAAAGTAGGATCATCCTCAAGCTTTTTACACTGAAAAACTCACATCCATATCACTATCCGCAATGTTGGCTACACACAGGCACACATTTACACAAGCTGTATAAAACAGCTGAGTCAGCATTACTTAATTCATTTACAATCCATAATGTAAATCCCATCCTTGAAAGACATTGTATTCAGTCCTAATTGACAATTGCCTCTTTAATGATCATTCTGCCTATAGACAAAACACAAAACTCCAGACTGAATTTACACTGAGCAGAGAGAGATTGAAACTCAGAGGACAAACTTTCTCTCTGTGGGTTGTGTGTTGCTCAGTGTCTTGATGTGCGCTAATGTGACAGCCCAAAGCTGGCATGAGGTGATCTCAGCACAATGGAGGAAAAGGCACCACACTGAGCCTGCTACTTTGCTCTTTTCCAGGCTCATATAGCAGAGTGAACAATCTGAGTGAAAGTCAGCTCGAACAGAAGCTGTGTCAGGCTAATTCAAGACAAACTGAGTTTTAATGTGTCCTAGGAACCCCTGCAGGTTCTGCTGAGAAACATCCACCGTTTTTGGTAAGGAGTTCTATAAACAGCATCACATTTATATCTGCTTGTAATACAGGAAGATAACCGGATGCTTTATTGGTGTTCAGTCTACCGACTAGTGTCTGACATTTCATGTGTCTCCTACATCTAATTATCCAGCTTAATTTGTTTTGATTTCGGGATTCTAGAGACTTCAGTCAGCGTGACGGCATTAAAAGATGAAGGCGACAGAAAAGCTGTTGAAAGTGAAAGAAAAAAGAGGCTAAATAGGGTGATTACAAGTGAACGATGGTCGTGGGGATGATGGACAGACTGAGAAGAAGAGAGGTGGGGGTACGGCCGTGGCAGTGAAGCAATATGCATTCAAGGATCCAGTGAATACACTCTACACAGCCACATGCTAATGACGGTCACCATTTAATGTGTCAAATTCACAATTCCCCTCCATCCTTCCCTCTTTCTTTCTCTCTCCTACAAGGGGCTAATTGCTCTGTCTCCTTCTTTTTGATAGAGAGGCTGTTGGTCTGTATTAAAGCCCATATTGTGGCGCCCATGCCCAACCTGTAACTCCAAAATCAGGACCACAAACAGATGCAGACACAGTGCCGAACAATCACTGGACCAGCTTTCCACAAGTCTTTGGTCATGTGAACATCCTTTACATAAATAAAAAAAGTATCGTTATGATTTCACGTTTTAGCATTTCTTAAATTATTTCGTAAAAGCCTACTGTCCCCACTGGAATGCCAACAACTAAAGGAGAATACTTTTAACATTTCTCCTGTTTCAGTTGTTAAGACCAACAAAAGTAGCAGATGGGTTGTAGAATTATCTCTACAGGTGGGATCTATCCCTTCTAACAACTCCAAACTTTTATTTCTGGGATTATCTGTACCTGACATTAGTAGCAGACTCAGGTGTTTTGAGGATCAGGGGCTGAAAATGTGTTAAAGGGCATCAGCTGTATGATAGCTGCAGCATGCAGAACGTTTTCTAGCATGTAGAGCAGCCTTTAGGGCACTGTATTGTGTCCTTTCAATTTCAAATAGGCATGTGGAGACTGTTTCAGTTTTGGCAACAACACCCACACTACTGAAAGAACAGCTATTGTGTAGTGTGCGTTACACAGTGTATTTATCGTGCGCCCGGATATGTTAATTGTTGTTGCCGTGTGGGAGATTTCCTTATATGGAAAGTGATAGCTGAGCAGAATTAAGGAATTGATGTATCAAACATAATTATATTCTCGTCACCCGCCAGGTAAAAGTGGCTGGGCAGCGCTTTATGTAATAGTGGGAGAGATATAGTTATCATAAATCCTTGCCTGAATGACCTTAACTGATTTATTTATTCAGCATTCTCTTTCATGCATTTCAAGAGAATAGTTGGTTTGATGGTTGTCTGGGTTATATCCATGATTATGATGTCCAACTAATTACAGTATACTTGTCTTCTGCTGTGTTTTAATAGCTGTTTATAGTCTCTCAAAAGGGACAATTGTGGAAGGTAAGGAGAGAAAAAGCATTTTACACTCTTTGCTCTACTTTATAGTCACCTCAATAGGTGAAAAGGAAATGTAATTACTTTTACATATTGTCCTAAATTATGTTTTCCCTGTGCAAACATTGGATAGTGATACTGTGCCCTCTACTGACAAGCTGCCAATAGTGCAGGGAAGTGTGTGGTCCTCACGCTGCATGTCTGCTTGCCTTCTGGTCGGGTGTGAGTGCGTGTGAAACCAGGCATGTACCTCATCTCGCCTGCATGCCTTTCCCTTTCTCCAGCCTGCTCTTGACTCGATGCCGTCTCCGGGGCCTAATCCTCTGATCAGCATGCCAGGAGAGCGCCGAGGGGCGACACTGAATTAGTGAGGGACTGGTGCCTGGGGTGACGCCTCGCTCCAGCACTTTCTCAGATTGTCTCATTGTTGACCAGGGGGTGGAGGTATAAGAGGACCACATCTTCCCCCAAAGCATTTGTTGCACATCCATCCTCCTAGCTGAGCGCATGAGACAGAAACAAAGTAAGGGTGACTAAGGCATACATTGAGAAAAAGTTAAAATGACATTATTACTTTTCATTCCTGGACAATAGACTGATCTTTCAAAAGACGGAATGTAATCATGAATGAAGGGTGGGAGGGACTTGAATACCACTCTCCCTGGTCAGATGTGTCAGGTTCAAGTTACTTACCAAACAAAGACCAGGGTGAATAGAGTGACTTGAGAGACCAGGGGATTGAGAGCAGTTGCTTGGCACACAAACAATTAGCACTCGTCCCTGCATAGCTTGCCGAGGCCCCAAATCCCCAAATTTGTCCAGACAAATTGACTGGACCCCAGGTCTTGTTTGTCTAGCCCCGCTGGACTGCTGGAGGGGGCTTGAAGGCAGCGGGGAATGCCCCCTCTGTAAAGCACAACTCATGGGAACAGAACAAAAATGTGTGCTGGTCAGAAAATGAGCCTTCCAACACTATTCAAATCACATTGGTAAAACATTTATAATTAATTATGTGCTTGATTAATGATCTGAACACTGGTTACACTGTGGTATTGCTCTGCAACCCAGGATGCAAAAAAAGACAATCATTATTTTCGATGTCCAGGATTTTTAATAAAAATGTACAGAACACTACGTGGGATGTGTGTCAGTATGTGGTAATTGGATTAAAAATAAACTAAATTAAGTTCAAAGTGTATAGTTTTTCATTTATCAATAGGCTATATTAGTATTTCAACTGCTTTTAACCGGTTGTTGGGACCTGCTGATGGGGTTAAAGACTGCCTCAGAGCTGTCATTTCAGTTTTAAACAGCAGAGAGGGCTAATGCTTTTTTTGGAGACATAAGTTTGAAAAAGTGGACACACTTTAGATAAGCATTTTTCTTTACAGCTTTTCTAAAATAATCCAATTGTTGGCTGCATCTGGAAAAACTTGGTACACAAAATAGAAACAAATATGGGTGAACCAGAGTCCAGATATTCAAGTATAGTGGAAAGGACTGCATAAGGAACAAAAAAAACCTCAATGCTTCACGTAAAATGGTGCTAGATACCTTCCTAAATTAAAACTGCACTTGTCTAAATATAAATACCTGTCGAACATGTTGTTAACACATTTTCTCTTGGTCTTCCATTAGAATCTCCACATCTTTGAAACCTAGAATAGTTAAAAAAACATCAAGTAAGAGTGAATTACAAAAAAACAAAATAACCGCTTTATGCTCTGTAAAAGGCAGAAGAATCATTTCACTTTACAATGTGAGTAGGATGCGGATCATAGACTGTAAATGAGGAGCCTGATATCAACTCATAATCTTTTCTTGAATGTAAATAGCCAGGATTGTCCTTCCAAGTAGATGTTGGGTTTGCTGAATCATCACATACCAATGTATCTCTCTGATTCATAAATTAAATCATAAGAACGTTTCCTGTCTACTTGACCACCTATCAACATTATCATTTACAGTAACATGGCATCTCCTAATATCATTATTGAAAAATATAGTAGACTGAGTGAGAATGAGCATCACTGAAGAATTAGTGTTTAAGAGTTAACATTGCATTGTGAGGTAATGAGTAAACAGACATTGTGTAAGTGACTGAAAATATACAAAATACTAATTCAGATTATAGTTCTCACTGGGAAAAGTAACAAAATAAACGACATGGTTTTACATAAAGTAATTACCAGTGAGATTGGGAACAGGTCTACAGTTTGGTCCTCTTTCCTTGCCGTCTGTTGCCACGGTGATTACGCTAGAGAGGCTTGTCCAGATTAGCAAGGCTAACATCTAGCTAGCAAAACAACGGTAGTATATTAGCTAGAAAACGTACTTAAAGTAAACTGAGGTGCTATTACCTGCAGATATGGCGTCTGTTTTAGATGCTCTCTGGGAAGACAGAGACGTTAGATTCGACATAACAGCACAGTAAGTCATTTCACGGAAATACTTGGGGGATTAAGGGTATTTCACCATTGCACATTTAGCTAACCTGTTAGCTCAGTAATTGGCTAACCTCAGGTAATGTCAGATACAATTAGTTACAACAATCACAAGTCACTTGATATTATGTTGTGGGGAAAACGTAGGGTATATAACATATATTACAAATGTAACAGTATGCCGTAGTTTAACGTCGTCAAAATACTTATATTACCAAACTGTGATAGCCTGCGTTTAGCTAAAAAAAGAAAACCACAACGCCAAATCACTGAACAATCTTTCCATCCATGTTGTTCACAGGCAGATGAAAACTCGTCCAGGAGAAGTACTTATAGACTGTCTGGACTCCATAGAAGACACAAAAGGAAACAACGGAGATCGAGGTAGTTAGCTATCCTGGAGTTTAAAACGGGTCCAACTCATGTCTGCTGGTCACTTAATGTATGATGTCCATTTGTATTTTTGCAGGACGACTGTTGGTAACTAATCTGAGAATCATTTGGCATTCTCTGGCCCTGCCAAGAGTCAATTTGTGTGAGTACCTCATGTCTATCCTAGGTGTATTTATTATTTAACTCTCTCTTTACTATCAGCTGAACATGTCTGCCATCTGATGGACAGTCATGGTATTAATAAAATAAGAAATACTTGGTTAATCCCAAATTGGAAGAAAACAAATTGTTACAGCAGCATAAAAAAACAAGGCAATGCACAACATTTGTTAATTATATTAACAGTTTTGATTGTAGGGTTTAATGACTTTACTCTTTCTTTTCTTTTTTGCTTAAACCTAACTTAAACTAAAGATCTTGTGGATGATTATTGCCACCGATTATAGAAAAGTCAAAACAGAAAATGTGCTTTTACTATTTGGTGAGATAAAGATGCTATGCTAATGTTACTATGCATATCATATAGACAATAACAACCTGCATCTTTTTCAGCTGTGGGTTACAACTCCATCATTAACATCACAACAAGAACAGCTAACTCAGTAAGTTTAACTTTGGTTGGTTATACCTTTTAATTATAATTAATTCTATCCTCACACTGTCATTAAAAGAAGAACAAATGAGATAATGATGGATAAACATGTTACTTTATTAATTGAATGCTATTTCTTTCAGAAATTGAGAGGCCAGACTGAAGCACTCTACATCTTGACAAAGTCCAACAATACGAGATTTGAGTTCATTTTCACCAATGTTGTTCCAGGAAGCCCACGCCTCTTTACTTCTGTTATTGCTGTCCACCGGTAAAACAACTCAGACGTAGTGTTTAATTCTCATTAAATGTACTTCTTACTGAATACTTTTGTTGGTCTTTTTGTTACAGGGCCTATGAGACATCCAAAATGTTCAGGGACCTGAAGTTGCGAGCCGCTCTCATTCAAAATAAGCAGCTCAGGCTCTTGCCCCGGGAACAAGTGTATGATAAAATTAATGGAGTTTGGAATTTATCCAGTGATCAGGTGCGAGTGCCTTAAATATTTCTTGGATTTTCTTCAATTTTGCATTTTATAGCTTGCTTACATAGACTTAACGTGTGTTTTCAGAGAAAATCTAACACTTAACAAGCACTATACTAACAGGATGAAATCAAATGTGAAATTGCATAACCCAAATGTATTTGGTGTGTGTATTGTCTATTGTCAATATTAACACACAATTTTAATGAGCAGTACAGTTCTATGAAGTGTTTTTTTGTTGAAATACATTGTAAGGAGTCAATATCTAATAACTGAAGGTAATACTTTAAGTGTGATGTGATGACTGGAGGTCAGTAGTTTGCAATATGAGTAACTGAGTCCATTTTCTTTTTTTTAGGGTAACCTTGGAACCTTCTTTATCACCAACGTTCGGATCGTGTGGCATGCCAATATGAACGAGAGCTTCAATGTCAGCATTCCTTACCTTCAGATTGTAAGTGTGAAACATTACAATAACTCTTCATATCTAGCTGACCGGTAAAATACAGTTTGATACTGTATTGAAAATGCCTTATCGATTCTAATACAAAGAAGTATAAATGTGATTTCACCCTTTTTTTGTCCAACTTAATTACAGTATACTGAACAATTACAGTATGAGCCACCTTTAGGTATTATTTAAAGCAGGTAGTTGCACTTGTAGTGTTTTTGTTATAAAGTCATGCATTGTTATTCTTTCAGTTTGATATTGTATATTTCATATTTTCTCCCCCTCAAGTGGTCTATCAGAATAAGAGACTCAAAGTTTGGCTTGGCTTTGGTGATAGAGAGTTCACGTCAGGTAAATATTCTTCAGTTTGAGTCACATTCGCATTACTTTTTTACATATACCTTTTGATATGAGTTTGTGAGAAACCAAAATACACAAATACTCTATTGTTTTTTAGAGTGGTGGCTATGTGCTCGGGTTCAAGATTGATCCAGTGGATAAGCTTCAAGACGCACTGAAGGAAATCAACTCATTGCATAAGGTGTACTCTGCCAACCCCATATTCGGAGTGGACTTTGAAATGGAAGAAAAGGTACAAATCTGCGCTCAATATTAGTATCAATGACCCTGAGGACCTCTACAGTATAACATTCAAACATTTCAGTCTAAGCTAAACTGTGGAACCTGTAAGTCTATTTTTAAATACTGTTGTTGTACTGAATGTTCACAGCTAATCTTTTGCGTCTGTATTCCCCTAATTGTTTTGAATACTTCATTGTAGCTGGCTTTTCACCGGTTCAGCTGATCTTGTTGTCATAGCGCTGTTTGTCCTAACAATGGTTTCAGCCCCAGCCGTTGGAGGAGCTCACTGTGGAGCAGCCTCCTGATGACGTGGAGATTGAGCCTGATGATCAGACTGATGCTTTTACCGTGAGTTACACTCATCTTTCCTCTGGGAGTCGATGGTTTAGTTTTCAAACTCTCAGAATAGCTGCCAGCTAATGCCCTTCAGTATAAAGAACAAACATGATTTCATGTTGCCTAGTGCTCATGTTTGTACAGAGCCATGCTCATCAGACAACAATAACCTATTATCACAGACAACATGTCCCATTTCTTTTTTAATAAATGTGGGAATTGTGTGTGATTCTTGCCCACAGGCTTACTTTGCTGATGGAAATAAGGTAAAGTCTCATACCTATTTATATCTTAAGCTATATTTTTTAAATAATGTAAATCCAAAGTATGTTATGTCCTAACTCTTTTCATTTTTTTTAAAGCAACAAGACCGTGAGCCAGTTTTCTCTGAGGATTTGGGCCTCGCCATTGAAAAGTTGAAGGATGGTTTCACACTTCAAGGACTGTGGGAAGTCATGGGCTGAAATAATAAGAAACATTTATTTGTAGGTGAGGTTTAAAGTTGTACAGTTTATGCATAGATACTTTTTGATAAGAAGAGAATACCAAATTCAAATGTGGGATATTTATATAACTAGATTATTAAATATAATTTAGTTTGTGTTGTTTAAAGTTAATAAATGTATTTAAATAGATATTGGAGAGTATTTTTTTAACATTCTTATAACATAATTGGATGTTTGTACTGTATTGCACACAAAATACATTTGTATGTCGGAAGAACACAATGATCACAGGCTAAATACATAACTGCACAAGGTGCTCAAGTATTTTACAAATCTGTAAAGAGGACAAACTGTCACCTCCTGTGGCAGCAGCTGTTCACTGACCCTGTCTTCTTCTTAGATAACTCCCCCACAAATACTGAATCACACTGAAGCAAAGGAGTCATTACTATCAGTGAAGTGTGACTCACTTCACATGTAGTCGTCTCCAAAATACATATGATTGTATTAAATACATATACACACATTAAGTGCTTGAACAAATAGTCCTGCCGTTGTCTCTCTCTGAACCTTCATTTAAACCTTGAGGAATTATTCGAGGCAGGCTCTCGTTTTCAACAATGTCAAGATTACAATTAAACCAGAACCAATACACAATGAAAAGTTGAAGAGAAAAATACATTTAAAACAGAAAAACACCCAACGAAAAAGTTAACTAATAATCAAGCAGACATTACAGAATACATTTGAAAACATTTAGGTTATTTCAAGAGTATAGTAATTGTTGGTGTTTAACTTTAATTGACCTGTATATACAATTGTCAAGTTTTAATGTGCGGTAAAGTCCTCTAAGTGTGTGTAGGACTATAGAATTCAGAATAAAAACAGTTTTCTCAAATGTATTATCTGCGCACAGGACTTGTGTGTGGTTTTTTTAAAACTATATTTTCCCATATTTGATAACCAAGAAGTGGTAAAAAGATCATACGATATTTCTGCGTGACCATACAGCAATGTTGTGACAAATGACTAGGGTGACAAGGCTCCACAGTTGTTTTTACCCTGTGACAGCTGGGTGAGCCCTCCCATTGGGCCAATCTGAATTCTTCATGTATTGGGTGGTTGGCTATATTTAGAGAGGGCACGGTTATATTGAAGTGGCCTCAGACCTGGCTGCCCATAGTTCTCTCTCTTCACCAGCTAGGATAGACTGCTGTGAACACTTCTGTCCACTTCCTGTCCTGAAAGAATGGATCCTCAAAGCATGAGGGAAGATCTCCGTCTGTTTCAGAGCACTCTGCTGCAGGATGGACTCAAAGAGCTTCTGAATGAGAATAAATTGATCGATTGTATCCTAAAGGTTGGGGACAGAAGCATCCCCTGCCATCAGCTCATTCTGTCAGCTTGTAGTCCTTATTTCCGGGAGCTTTACTTCTCAGAAGATGACAAGGAAACTGATAAAATGGAAGTTGTTCTGGAGAACCTTGATCCCGATGTCATGGAGGCGATTGTAAATTACATGTACTCAGCGGACATTGACATCAATGACGACAATGTGCAAGGTATTTTGGCTGCTGCGAACCGCTTCCAGATCCCCTCGGTGTTCACGGTTTGTGTGAATTATCTCCAGAAGCAGCTGTCAGAGAAAAACTGCCTTGGCATCTACAGGCTGGCACTGATGCTGAACAGCTCCAGACTGGCACTGGCATCCAGAAATCACATTGCAGATCGGTTTGAGACCTTAGCCAAAGAAGCAGATTTCTTAGAGCTCTCTCCACCTGAACTCTTTGCCATTATTGGAGCAGATGCATTGAATGTAGAAAAAGAGGAAGTAGTGTTTGAGACCCTCATGAGTTGGATCAGGAAAGACAAAGAGAATCGTGTGAAATCCTTGGAGGAGGCCTTTGATTGCGTTCGTTTCCGTTTACTCCCAGAGAAGTACTTCAAGGAGAAGGTGGAGAAGGATGAAATACTTAAGGCTGATCCTGAGATTGTTAAAAAGATCAAAGTTATAAAGGAAGCCTTTGCAGGGAAGCTGCCAGAGAAGAAGAAAAGTGAAGACGATGGGGAAGAAGAGGAGGGAAAGTTGCTTGGTTACCTGAACGATAACCGCAGAACTGGCATGTATGCCAAAGACATGGTTCTGATGATCAATGACACCGCTGCCGTGGCCTATGACCCCCAGGACAATGAATGTTCACTCGCTGCAATGTCAGAGCAGATCCCCCGAAACCACGTCAGTCTGGTGTCAAAGAAGAACAATCTGTATGTGTTGGGAGGACTGTTTGTAGATGAAGAGGACAAAGAAAAGCCATTGCAGTGCTACTTCTACAAGGTATACATCTGTTATTGACATGGCAGATGTACACATCAAAAGTTATGCCTCATTTGGTTTTTCAGAATATCTCATAATGTGCCTTTCAGTTTGACAGTCTCGCCGCTGAATGGATGGCCCTCCCGCCCATGCCCTCCCCCAGGTGTCTGTTTGCTCTGGGCGAGTGTGAAAATGTCCTCTTTGCTGTCGCAGGAAAAGATTTACAGTCCGACGCGTCTCATGACACTGTTATGTGCTATGACACTGAGTAAGTCCCAACTATTTTGGATTAGCTCACTCAGTACATTTGTCTTTTTGAAAGTTCTGATGTGCATTTACTTTTGATCTGCTCTTTTTTAGAAAAATGAAGTGGAGTGAAACTAAAAAGTTGCCTTTGAATATCCACGGCCACTGTGTGGTCTCTGAGAACGGGCTGGTGTATTGTATCGGAGGAAAAACAGACGACAAGTGAGATTGCACTGTAATGCAATTGCAAAAATGAACCGAAATGAGGCAAATTATGATTTTAACATTCAGAATGTTTGTCTTACTTAAAGCAAAGCGACAAATAAAATGTTTGCATACAACCACAAGAAGTCAGAGTGGAAGGAGGTGGCTACCATGACGACACCCAGAGCCATGTTTGGGGCAGTGATCCACAAAGGGATGATCGTTGTCGCTGGAGGAGTCAATGATGCAGGCCTCATAGCTTCTTGTGAAGCTTATGACTTTGGAACCAACAAGTATGTGCTTTTTATTGTTACAATTTTAACATGCCCATCCAATTGATGTGCATGTCATGTTTCTGGTATCACATCTATTTAGTTAAATAGTTAGTTATACAACCTTGAAGTTTTTGAAAGATGTGACTTAAACATGTTCAAATGAGTCATAGGAGCCCATACATTTTTTTTGAAGAAATGCAAGTTACATATACATTAGTACATATTTCCTATTAACATATAAATTATTATCAAATATTCATAAAATGTTAGTTTTTTATGTTTTTGTAAGATTTTATCACAATTAGGCAGTTAAAGTGATTTTTTTTCTGATCTACAGACTGTGTAATTTAAAGTATTATAAAGAGGAGAAAGCATCCAGATTAAAATAATAAAAAGGGGAAAAGTCATAGTTTATTCTATAAACTAATATTATTTCCTCTCAGAAAATTATGCTGAGATTTTTTAAGAACAATACAAAAAAACGACCACATGGCGCTATCATATTAACACAGCTGAGTCCACCTTGTTGCAGGTGGTCCCCGTTCACAGAGCTGCCCCAGGAGAGGAGCTCAGTGAACCTGGTGAGCTGCGGGGAGCAGCTGTTCACTGTAGGAGGCTTCGCCATGGTGGAGAATGACAACAAAGAGTGTGCACCCAGTGAAATCATCGACATTTGGCAGTATGTGTGGATTTTGTTACATTAAATGTTAGAATATGTGGTGTCATCTTGCTCACTTTAATCTACAATGATAACTATCCTCCTACTGTATAGTGATATCTTGTTTCTGCCTCACCAGGTATGAAGAGGACAAGAAAGAGTGGAGCGGTATGATCAGAGAGATGCGTTACGCAGCTGGAGCCTCCTGTGTGTCCATGCGCCTGAATGCAGCCAGAATGCCCAAACTGTAAAAGGCACTGCAAAATATTATGTACATGCTTTTATTTACTGGCTTATTGTTGTTAATTCAATATTTAAACATATCACATGTCCTGTTTGCCTGTTGTGCGTGAGCGGTTTTAATTGCCATATTTCTTTAGATTTGGACCAGATTTAGTTGATTCCGATCTACTAAAACACATCAGTTGTTCAGAATATACTTCTTCTTAAAATAAATCAAATAGTTATTGTTGTATACTGGGAAAGGATTGCATAGAAATTGATTTTTTCTTCTGTTAATCTGGAAATGCTTCTATAACATTACATCAACATGGACCCTGTACATGATCAGTATTAAAGTATCTTCCACAGGCTCACAGTGTCTGTCTGACATGTTGTTTTGGTTTGTTTTTACATGGACAACATCCACATTTTTAAATACTGTGGCCTAGTGCAGGTTTTAATACTTTTATCGTTGTTGTATGAGAAAAGTCACAAAAAAAAGATAGTGATGCTTTATATTTAAAATACTTGTTTTAATACAAAAGCCAAAAATACACAATCTAGCTTCACATTAATGAGGTTAGAGGTGAAAATAAGAAGCATTTTATATATGATAACAGGCAGTAGTGATTTCCAAACTCTGTTAAGTCTGAAGACGTTCAAAACCAAACTCAAAGCTTTGTCAAAGTGTTGAGTGTAACATTACTTTCAATGTTCAATAAATAAGGCCTTTAGGAAGAAAGCTGTCCAAATAGGTTCTTCTTTAGATATTCCTTCCATGCATTCGGAGTCGAAAGCTCCATCGAGTTCCATTCAAAGTGAGGGACCTGTTTAAAACACAAACAACTATTGAGTGTGACTGACATATCACATTTTCAGAGTAAGAGATGTACCACACTTCCACATGCAATCTTATATTACGTATTCTCACCTGAACCACAAGGTATCCCATAATTTCAAGGTGTCTTTTTGTCATCAGAGCATTCCCTCTCAAATGGTGAGAGTTCTTGCAGAAGGAGTTGGAATCAAGGAAGTTCACAGCAACTCTGAGTGATAAGAGAAAGGAGGATGTCAAACATATGTAATTTCTGAGTGGTTTTATATCTCCGATAAATCCCTACCGCTGAGCTCCAGGTGGCAGCACATCCCTGGTGGTATCCTCTGAGCTCGTTCCCCAGTGAACCTTTCCTCTGTCTGAGATCTGCAGAGTGCTGGGCCCGCTGTAGGGCAGCGGCTGCAAGCGCTTGTCTAGAACGCATTCAAAGTCTGAAAAGGCAAAGACATGGTCATATAACATAAAAATAAATCTCTTTTTTGGAGCCAAGTTTGGGGAATGTCATTAAATGGAAAAGTCATGCAGTTAACAGTTGTCTTAAATATTTTGTTCATGAGTAATACAACACTTTAATACTTATAAAATGACTTGCAAGCATAGAGGCTACCTATAGTATGTTTTTTTTACATTTGCAGACTTTTTGAGAATAGAAACATGTGACAAACATCATCAAATTACTGTTTATCCGATGGAAATACTCCAATATTACTTACCTACAGTGTAAAAGTATGGAGTGACAACTGCTACTCGGACACAGTTAATGCCACCGAGAACCTCACCCAGCATATTGTAGATTTGCTGCTGCATAGGACTCGCAGTGACTGTCCCTGAAAATAATTAACATTTTCACAGTTTAGATGCATTTGAATTCCATGCTTCGTAACCAAAAAATGGTTCCATCATTGTATACCTTTCTTCTGAAACTGCTGGCAGTAGTTCTCATGAAACCACGGCACCTGGTACTCAGGACACTCGAGACACACGGCGCGGTTCAGCTCCATGAGGCGCAGTCTGGTCCGCATGGTGAGGGTATCAGATAGAGCTGCAGGAAGTAGGGACAACAATTAGTCCTGAAAAACTTGCATCTCAAGTTGAATTTATTTTTTTAAGCTAAAAGGGGACTTACTTTCGAGTTTGGCGTCCAGCTTTCCCAAAAACTCTATACTGAAGATTTCTCTGACTAGTTCCTCAGGAAAATAGTCGGCCAAAGCCAAAGTGTACCCCAGGAGAACTAGCATATGTGGTTCAAAGGAGCCTACAGACAGAGAAAGAAAGGTGTTAGTGCAGGCTTAGAATAAGGATAAAAAAGTCTAAATGAATCAACTTACTGATATGAGCAGTCACACACTGAATAGAGGCATCATACAACTCGTCTGCTGAATCATAATTCAGTACACTGAACGGGAGAATGATGGCATATATTCCCCAGTGGTGAATCTGAAAAAATACAGGAAAGTATAAAAGTACTCCTAATATATTTAACTATTCCAGAGTTAACATAGGGGGATGTCCATAAAGGAACCTACCTTGTCAATGTCTTTAATGGCCACTGTGGCAATACGGTCCAACAGGGGAGGGCAGATGTGATTTATTTTGGTTAGAAAGAGGCACAACGCCGGCACATTGGTCCAGTGGATTTGGTCCATCATCCTCTTCAGTGTGACCATCGTTTCATCCAGCAGAATTTCATCAAACCACTCTCCTGTAGTGTACTTGAGCTCTTCCAGCAGCAGGTCCAGCCGGTCGGCCTTCTGCAGCCTCTCCCGCCCGCAGCGGTTCAGGGTCTGCAGCAGACGCACATACTTGCTGGTAGTGTTGTGGCGGTAGGAGGGTTCATTACGCAACCACTTGGCAACGGCAACAGAGATGGTGTTGAGGTCATTGAGATTGCACTGGGTCACTATTTCCTCTACCCGGGAGATCACGCCCTCCTCAAGGCGCTGGCAGGGCAATATGGAAAGAACACGGGTCAACATGGTCACCTCGTAGGGGAGGACGCTGCGCTCCATAAATCTGCAAAATAAAGTGGAAGCAGGCTGAGTTTAATTAAATCAAATAAGAAAGTGACATTTCCTTCTTAGCTGAAAGAAACACTTACTTGACCAAAATCTGTCTTAGTTTAGCGTAGAGTTCAGGGTTCTGGTATTTCAACAGGGAAAGCGCTTGGACGACCCGTGCGACCTCCACTGGCTTGTAGACATGGAGGTTCCTCTGGATCACTGATGCAATTCTGGAAAAGAAATGTGTAATAATTACATTTTAAATATTGATATAAACCACATTATGATAACGATTCTTGACAAAAAACCTGTGAACAATATGAGACTATTAGAAATAAATGTGTCACAGCTCTTTAGGCAAACTATGTATAACTGTAATGGAGACCTTGTACCTCAAAATTTAGATATCTACAATTTCATGACAACTTCTTCTGCAGAGGAAAATTGAGACACGATCAGAAGCACGAGAAAAGCTAAATGGGCATGTTTCTGAGGTAAAGAATGAACATTTAACTAAAAGACTTGTCATTGCTGTACTAATATCAGTTTTACCATTTAAAGTATCTGCAGTAAGTAGATATCGGCAAATAGATTGGCTCCACTTATTAAGAGAATAAGACATAAACTCACTTGTTCAGTAAGCTAAGATTCCTGCTCTGAATATCTTGTAGAGCTTCAGCTACAGCCAGAGCCTGATGTGGAGTGAGCTCATCCGCCAACAGGAGGGCAGTGTTCTCCAACCTGAAGAGACACATTGGAGAAGCATTAGACTGAAGAACTGCAGTAAATGGTTAGATTAAACTCACTGATCTCTCCACTAATAATGACACACACCCGTCTCTGATCTCCTGACTGGCCATCGGAGCCAGAGTGACAAACAGTTTGGTAAAGGAGTGAGGATCCGTGCTCGAATCAATGAGTTCTGTTAGTCTTGGTTTGACAGCCAGACTGAAGTCACAGCTGTTGAACTGCAGACCCTGATACAGCCCCATGATCATGCTGATGTTTTCTGCATCCAGCCTGGACATGTTGATTAAGATAATCTTGTTGCACTTGTCCAGCAGGGGCCGGTAACTGTGCTTTATGTTTCGCATGAACTGCACCATTCTCCGCGGGTTGTTAAATTTTGTTGGATCCATGGTGTCCAGGAGTTCTTCTGCCCTGCTAATAAGGGCATCTCGAAGCCGGGGAGACACCAGGGACGACATGCTGATCATCAGTGATGACAGGATCCTGGAAAAACATAACAATGCGTTAATACAATATATAAAAAAGGTACTTATAATCCATTTAACATTTGTTACTTGACCAACCTGGCATCATCAATGGACGACAACCTCTGATCCACTATACTGGTGATGTGGCCCATTAGCGGACTGTTTTGAAGGTTCAGATTACTGAGACACATGGCAAACTTGGATAGGGATTCCATTGGAAGTCTGTGAATTCCAATTAATTCGTTTTAAAACCATTATACACTTCACCAAACAATTTTGACAATATCAATTTTGGTAATGTATAAAACAAAATGCTTATTTACCTTTTTATAACTTTTACAATTTGCAATGTCCATAATAGTTACCTAAGAATGTAATGCAAACATACCTGTCTATTCTCAGCCATGCTTCTGAAACTAACTGCTGAACAAGAGAGTCATGGCCATCCACATTAAACCTAAAAGATTAACAATAAAACAGTTTGTTATTATGTCTATACAATACATCAAAAACATATAAATTAAAATGATTGAGGGTATATATTCTTGTACCTGAGGAAACTGTAAAGCATGTCGACCAACGTCAAATCATCCATCAGAGCAATTTTGTTCTCTGCCAAAACCCGGAGCGTTAAGAATTGAGGATGGCACCTGATGACCTTAACAGTCCTGAGCATTTGTGGCTTCTCTCTCTGAAACTGCCACAGCATCCCCACAGCTGTGCTGACATGGTTCACTGTAAGCTTGGCCTTGTTTTTACCCACCACATCCAAAACCTGGTCTTCAGCAGCGCATACCTGCAGCTGCTGCAGAACCTTGTCTCGGTTAACTGTCCCTCCATGAAGGAGCCTCCGAAGGAAGGAACTACCACACCTGAGCCTAAACATCACACTGAAGCGGGCTCAAATTAAGTATGCACTGGGACCTTCATTATACAAACCCAGTCCACACTGTGCATCTCAATGTCAAACCAACAGCCAGGCTTAGCCAGTTGATATCACAACAACAAAACTACAGTCTGGAGGAGGCATATGGTGGGTGCTCTACCAGGGACCTGTGGACACTGAATACAAAACAAACACATAAAATATACACATCAAAATATCTTAAATAGTTTTGATTGTATAAAACAAATGCAAAAACACGTGCATGACAGTTAAGTAAGTTCAGTGTGACATGCTGACCTAAGGTTCAGAACGTCTCATCTCGTAGACAGCCCCATTCACAGACTGTTTTGACTTTCCTTCAGTGAACGGCAACACCGCAGTGAGCTACCCGTTGCTAAGTTAACGCGATATTCACGTGGATAGAGAAAATATGTCCTAAAATTCAATATTAGCCAGCATGGGCGCTATAATGTTTCACTTCCGTAGCCAGTGACATAAGGAACATAGGGATTTTTAATACCCTGGGCAATGCCTTTCAGGCAGCCACTCACGCATACCGGTGAGCTCAAAATCGCCCTTGTACAGGCAACCAGTTGTCTTAAAGACTAAGGTGGTTTTCCAGCGTTAAAACATTGCTTACAAGTGCTTTGTGTCTGTATCACTTACATACAAATTAAAAAAATTAACGTTTAAAAATATTTAAACGTTATATTCCCAATTTTCCCTGGAAAGGGTGGCTAACTTTTAACGCCATGCATTTAAAGGGAGACGGAAGGGGTCTTTTGTATATTTTGTTATGAAAGGTTAAATCGTTTGGTGTCATTCCACTCCTTGCTTACTGTGTGGAAATGACCAACATGATCGATGTGGATAAACAGCCTGTCAGAAACATGTACCTGACAGACCAGTTCCAGGGAATAAATTACCCCTGTTTCTCAGATACGTGACCGTCTGCGTTGACTGGGTTGACTGGCGCACGCTTCTTGAAATACATTGACGTCCCTGCCCCGCCATCTTTAGAAAACAGTGAGTCCAACACTGAATGAAACTTAATTTTCGTCGTCTGTGAAAGCTGTTCGCTGTATGGAGTGATATCCTTGTGTTTCCAGGTGATGTGTGTTTGCAGAGACCACGTCTTAGCGACATGTGTGCAGTTAATATGTCGAAATGTAATAGGAATCCCTGTAACATGTTGTCTTGTGGATGCTAGGTAAAGTTGCTAATGCTAACACTAGGCCTACCATTAGGCTGACGGTGTTTGAAACTATAACGATAGAGTCCAGATTGGTGAGTGTGTGAACATGTTTGATTGATAAACACGAACAGGGGTTTCTTTAAATGTGGATCCACGGGTCAAGTGATAGCGTTGCTAGTTAGCTAGCTGATTATGAAACAAACGAGAAATAGCTAGCCTCGTTATTTTTATATATTCGAGCAGTCAAATCAGCGATAACTGTGTCGGTAAGGTTTATGTTTATTTTATATCCTTCAGGAAAAAACCTAATGTTTGTCTTTGCACCAAATGTTCTTATTAGTATTACAAGTTCAGCTGGTCAGACCTTATAGGTACGCAGTTTTCTTTTTTAGCTAATACTGACTGTTAAATGACAATTATAAGCTAAAATAGACTACACTGGTGGTAATAGTACTAAAAGCACAGTGTAAAAATACGCCGTTACAGGTTCAAAAGTCCTGCAGGCATGTTGTGTAAGATAAAAAACATATCGCCATCAATATATACCCAAGTAATCGGAAGTGAAAGTACTCAAAATGCCGTAAAGCCTAATTCAGAAGTCTTTATAATAATCATATATTATTGCTGCATATATGCGCGCATCACTTCATTGTTGTAACTGGTAAAGCTATTTTACATAATATACTGCTGGGAATTGTAATCTTTAATAATGCAAGACCTTTTGTACTATGCATTAACAAGCTGGATGCGAAGTAACCAGTAACTAAAGATCTCTATATACTGATGTAAATTTCACTCGTGTTGCAAGATAGCTCAGTGGTTAGAGCTGGCGACCCGTGTGCACATTTCATTTCCTAGTAAGCCAGTTCGAATCCCGAGCCGGCTGTCTCCCTGGCCAGTAAATCGCACTGCCAAGTGACTGGGTTTCCTCTATCATGGTCTTCCAATCTCATTCCAGTGCCAGATCGACCTCAGTTTGCAGAAGGGATGTGCTATACTACTGGCTCCCCCCTTTCGAAGACCGAGTACAAATCTTATTTTATAACACTTAATTATTAATCCTCATAATTGAATTATTTTGTCCAGAGGTTAGCACTACAGATATCACAATTCTTTGGCAAATTTTCACATGAAATTGCCCGCCATTTTAATCGTCCAACTATCTTAAGTTGTATGGAAATTCCCTTTCTACTTTGTAATATTTCTATTCTGGAAACAATGACTTTTATCATTACTGTATAGGACAAAAGTGGAAGTACTAAAGTAAAGTGCATAACCTCAAAATTGTACTTAACTAAATGTACTTATTTAACCACTGATTGTCAGTTAGCTTCATGTTATCTGTGTTTCTCTTCTTCAGGTGTTTGATCAGTAAAGGTGATCATGGGGATCAAGACTCCGCGCTCTCGGGTCTTCCTTGACATCGGCATTAGTAATGTGCTCGGTAAGAATTTCCCAATTCTTAGTAATATAAACACTCAGTTTGTTGAATAACAGCTACATAATAATAGATTTTAATATAACCAACCTACAATAAATGTTACGTCCAAAAATGTTATGCTGTCAAGTTTTTGTGTGAACTGAAAGTTGTTTCCTAATTGAAGTCTGCCTTCATTGATATAAATGGATTGGACAGAAGGGTTTCAGTAGGACATCTTGTAATGATGTTGTTTTTAATATGTATTATACTGCATTAGTGTTGGGTAAATGTACCTATTGATTACTTTTAGGTCATTTCTTAACACTGAACAAAACTAACAATGTGGTTTTTCTCACAGTTGGCAGAGTTGTGATTGAGTTATTTTCAGACATCTGTCCCAAAACTTGTGAAAACTTCCGATGCCTCTGCACAGGTAAACAATACATCTATCCACAAGAAGATGCCAACCTTTTACTTCATAGCAAAGTTAAATATTGATTACTGATAATTGACTGTGGTTCTATTCAGGTGAAAAAGGCCTTGGAAAGGGAACCATGAAACCCCTGCACTACAAAGGATGCCTGTTCCATCGAGTCGTAAAAGACTTCATGATTCAAGGAGGAGACTTCAGCGAAGGTCAGTTAATAAAGTTAGAAGGGTGTGCATTTAGTTTTTAACACTTGTAATTTAAGTCAAAAATATGTAAAGACTGTGAAGATATAGTAAATTATTCCAAGTTTCTCTGTTAATAGCATCACAAGACTGTCAATTCTTATCAGCTATACATGAATGTATGGCATCAGCATCCAATAATGATACATCAACCCAACCAATCTCTGACTACCAGCCATCAAATGTTTTATATCACCATAAATCTCTTTCCTGCTGTAGCCCCCCCTCTCATGTTTTCTCTTTTCTCTAACATCATAGGAAATGGAAAAGGAGGAGAATCCATCTATGGAGGCTTTTTTGAAGGTAAAAAGCCACTGTCAGTTGTCAGTTGTTATCCAAACCGACGTTGGCTTCAAGATGGCAGTACAATCTTCTCCTTTTCCCCCAGATGAAAGCTTCGCTGTTAAACACAACAAGCAGTACCTGCTGTCCATGGCCAATAGAGGCAAAGATACAAATGGATCGCAGTTTTTCATGTGAGCACTTTATCAACACATTAAAGATTTGATGCATTATTTCCTCTTTCTCCCAATAATTATATGTGCTCTTTTTCTCTTGATTGGCCTGCTCGAACACTTCAGAACAACAAAACCTTCTCCACATCTGGATGGGTGAGTGCAGCTTGATTTCAATGCATTGTGCACTTTGTTTTACAAAGATCAATGTTGCTAAAGCTCACCACCACTCTATTGTTTTCTCAGTGTCCATGTGGTTTTTGGTCATGTGATTTCTGGCCAAGATGTTGTTCAAACCATGGAGAACCAGAAAACAGATCCTAATAGCCGGCCGTATGCTGACGTGAATGTTATGAACTGTGGAGAGCTCGTCCCTAAATCTAAAGGTTTGTTTGTGAAGCTTTTTAATGTTTTTTAAATATGTTTCTAACACTTTAAATATTATTTTCCTGCAAATGTTGTCTGAGCATATGCAGGTTTCTGAATGTATAAAGCCGTGCCTCTAACAGACTCTTTAATTATTGCAGCAAAGAAGGATGAAAAAAATAAAGAGAGGGCGCCTTCCAGCTCCAGCAGCAGCAGCTCCAGCGACTCTGAGAGCTCGTCACAATCCTCCTCGGATACAGAAGAGTCTGAGAAGGAATCTAAGAAAAAGAAAAAGAAGGCGAAAAAGCTCAAAAAGAAACAGAAGAAGAAGGAAAAGAAAAGGTAGCTTTTTTTACTGTCACATTTTCCCAGTCTAAAGTGTGATCGGTACTTGGTGTCTTGATTCTGAGCCACAATGCTTTCCTAGGTCGGAGGCTGAGAGCGCTGAAGAGAAAGAACAAGAAGAGCTGGTTACCTCCACTGTGCGTCCTGAAGATATCCCAGCCATCCCAGAGAACCGATTCCTCATGAGGAGGAGTCCCCAGGCGGTCCAGAAGACAAAAGACGAGTCTGAAAAGGATCCGCCAAGTAGAGATGAAAGACCCAGAGAGAGGTGAGTCTGCCCACAAACAGCCGTTGTGATCATAATCCAAACATAATGCCTTGGTCGGTAACTGTAATGCCTTGTTTGTCTCTTCCTAGTGCTGGCATAAGATATAATTCTCAGTCATCATATAACAGAAGACTTGCGATGACAAGATCCGGGAGGAAGATAAAAGGCAGGGGTCCACGGGTAGGTACACCGCACCAATAGGAAGAGCTCAGCTAACATGTGTTGCTCTTTTTCACAGTTCAATTCATGTGTCGCTTTTAGCTTGCGTTTCTTGCTACTGTGGCAGAACGAATATGGAGAAAAAAATACCGTAACTTCAATAACGCAGTGATGCAAAAACCATTTTATTTCCCCATCCATAAACATTTTAATGCTGTTTTCTAAAATGTCTGTATTGGCCGCACTGCCAAGTGACTGGACTTCCTCCATCATGGTCTTCCAATCTTATTCAGTTTGCAGAAGGGATGAGCTAGACCACTGGCTCCCCCCTTTCGAAGACTGAGAACAAAACACATTTATAGCTACAGTTAATATAACTCTGAAACTGCTGTTTCCACTGTGGGCATTAAAGGTGTAGGTAATTCACTTCAGAAACACTTTTTTTATATTCCATGGAATGCTCTTAAAGAGCAACTTGCAGGGTTTTTTTTTTTACTACATGTATGCTTAACCTTGCCTGAAAATTACAATTAAAAAAAGTTAATGCAGGATTTGATATGTTTTACAAGACATAAGGGCAGCAATTCAGAGGGAAAGGAGCCGTTTTGAGCTCTGCTACTAAA